TTTTATGTTGATTGGTATTCTTGATCAAGTGTTATTTTATTAGTCTTTTTTTGTTTTTGTTTTTGGCTTTGAACTTTCCCTGTTTGATTATGCCTGTATGTACTTGATTAGTGCTTCTTAATAGTCCAAAGATTTGAGCTTTATCTGTTTAATAGGGAATGTAGGTTGATTTTCATGGTCCCATTTAACAAATTTTCATCTGGGGTTTTTGTTTTTAGCTTAATTATGCTTTTGGTGACTTGATTATGGCTTCTTCACATTCCAAAGAATTAAATTTTATTTGTGCACCCAAAGGATGAGTCGAGGGTCTATCAGAAACCGTCTCTTTATCTCCATAAGATAGGGGAAAGGTATGCATACACTCTCCTCCCCAAACCTCACCTGAGGGATTATAGTGGCTATATTGTTTTTGTTGTTGTGCGATCAAGGGTGTGGCCTAGTGGTCAACGAAGTAGGCTGAGAACCATGAGGTCTTAGGTTCAATTCCGCAAAAACACTAGGTGATTTTCTTTCCATCTGTCTGAGCCTTGATGATGGACAGAGTTACTCAGTATACATGCTGGTGGAAGATAGCATGTGCCTTGTGTAAGCTTATTATTTTGTTGACTTGATTATACCCTCTTAACATTCCAAAGAGTTGAACTTTATTTATCAGGTTGGGAATGTAGCTTGATTTTCATGGTCCCATTCATTTATCTTTGCTGGTGCATCCATCATCTGCCTCTGCATAACAAAATTTTCTTCTGGGGTTCTTTGTTTTTAGCTTTAAACTTTTCCTGATTGATTGTGCCTATGGTTACTTGCCTATTGCTTCTCAACGTTCAAACGACTTCAACTTTAGTAATTGAATTGGGATTTTTCTATTTGCAGTTGCAATATCATATTTTGGGCTGTGTGACAAAGGAATATCCGTTTAGCTGGTGCAGTTTATTTGGGTGAAGTTTTTTGGCCGGCCTAGTGATGGCCTCCAAGAAAATAATTGCTATATGTCAATCTGGAGGGGAGTTTGTTGCCAACAATGAAGATGGATCTTTGACATATGTTGGCGGAGAGGCATATGCACTAGACCTCGATAACCAGACACTTCTGAATGATTTTAAGCAAGAAGTAGCGGAAAACTTCGAGTGTGGCACTGATGGAATGACCATCAAGTATTTTCTCCCTGGGAATAAGAAGACACTCATCACAATATCTAAAGATAAGGACCTCAAGCGTATGATCAACTTCTTCAAGGATTCTGAACAAGTAGAGGTGTTTATAATTGCAGAAGAAGGTGTTGCTCTAAGTACTCCGAATGTGACTGGCAGTAGGTATTTACTTCTCTTTAGATTCAGTTCAGTTTGCTTCTTTTGTTTTCTCATTGCATTTGTCACACCTTGGGTATTTCCTTGAATCCTAGCATTCTAAGTTTCTATTTCTTCGGATTGTAGTAGGTTTTTATACTCAATGTGTTCCAGGGAGCGCTTTGTTTTGCTATATTTGTTTGTTGATGACTTAAATTTCTCTATGACTTGTTTAACTTTGAAGGTCAAGCAGGACCAACGTATCCGAGCCTGAACATACTCCTGTTATACCCATGGATATGATCCATCCTGATGATCTGTTTCAAGCACCTGTTGAAATTAGCCCCCCAGGTGTTTATCCGAGTAGCAATGATGAGAAGCATCGCAAAGCAGCTATGCAGTGGGAGAATGCCATTACTGGCGTGGGCCAAAGATTTAACAGCTTTTCTGAATTCCGTGAAGCTCTGCATAAGTACTCTATTGCCCATGGATTCACTTATAAATACAAGAAAAATGAAAGTCGCAGAGTAACTGCTAAATGCAAGTCAGAAGGTTGTGCTTGGTCAATATATGCATCAAAGTTGCCTACCACCGAGCTAATATGTATTAAGACGATGAACCCGAAGCATACATGTGATGGAGCTGCAGTAAAAGCTGGGTACCGGTCCACAAGGGGATGGATGGGAAATATAATAAAGGAAAAGTTGAAGGTTGCTCCCAATTACAAACCTAAGGATATTGCAAATGATATTGAACGTGAATATGGCATTCAGTTGAACTACTCTCAGGCAAGACGTGCGAAAGAGAAGGCAAGGGAGCAGCTTCAAGGTTCTTACAGAGAGGCATACAGTCAGTTACCTTTACTATGTGAGAAAATTAAAGAAACTAATCCAGGTAGTGTTGCTATAGTTTATGCAAAGGATGACTCAAGCTTCCATCGTTTATTTATCTCGTTTCATGCCTCAATAGCTGGTTTTCGACAAGGTTGTCGCGCTCTTCTGTTCCTTGACAGCACTCTTCTCTATGCAAAATATCAAGGAACACTATTGGCCGCCGTAGGTGTGGATGGGAATGATGGTGTCTTTCCTTTAGCCTTTGCGGTTGTAGATGAGGAGACGAATGACAACTGGCATTGGTTTCTTTCGGAACTTAAATCTACTGTCCTGACTTGTCCAATAACATTTGTTTGTGATTTCCAAAGGGGCATAAGAGAGTCATTGCATGAGATATTTAATGAAGAGTGTCACCATGGTTATTGCCTGCGCTATCTTGCAGAAAAATTGAATAATGATTTGCAAGGACAGTTTTCTCACGAAGCTAGACGTCTTATGATCCAAGATTTATATACTGCTGCTTGTGCCCCAACACTTGAGAGTTTTGAACGTTGTGCTGAGAATATAAGAGCAATCTCACCTGATGCATACGATTGGGTCACTCGAAGTGAGCCCGATCATTGGGCAAATGCCCTTTTTGGTGGGGCAAGGTATGGCCACTTGACATCAAATTTTGGACAGCCTTTTTATGATTGGGTGATGGAGGTGAATGAGCTGCCGATAACTCAAATGGTTGATGTATTACGAGGGAAGATAATGGAATTGATCTATACTAGGCGTGTTGAGTCCAGTCAGTGGGCTACGAGATTGACACCATTGATGGAAGAAAAACTTCAGAGTGAAACCTCAAAAGCAGGGTCACTTCATGTGTTACCCTCGCATGGAAGTACATTTGAAGTTCGTGGTGAGTCTGTTGACGTAGTTGATATTGATCAATGGGATTGTAGTTGCAAAGGTTGGCAATTGAATGGGATGCCTTGCTGCCATGCTATTGCTGTTTTTGAATGCATAGGAAGGAGTCCATATGATTATTGTTCCAGATACTTCACAACCGAGAGTTACCATGTAACATACGTTGAATCAATTAACCCCATTCCTAATCTGGAAAATCCAGCAAGCGCCGAAGTTGATGCGGCAGTTATTATTACTCCCCCGCCATGCAAACGTCCACCTGGCCGACCTAAGATGAAAAAGGTCGATGCTTTTGACATTGTTAAACGGCAGATGCAGTGTAGCAAGTGTAAGGGCCTAGGTCACAATAAGAAGACATGTGGGTAAGTTTACTAAACTCTTATCTGATGAATGTATCATGTTTCTGCTGAATCTTATTAGATTTTAGTTCAATAACTATAATCAATCAAAATATATATACTTATATATGTCAACAACGACATTGCCAGTGTAATTCCTCAAGTGGGGGCTGGGGAGGGTATTACCTTTTCTTCCAAGAAGTCAACGGCGTTACCCCATTGGGATACTTCGAATAAACATATGAGGTAGAGAGGTTGTTTCTGATAGACCCTCGGCTCAAAAGAAATGTTTCCGAAGCAGAACTGCAAGAATAATATATACTTATATGTGTCGTATTATACTTTTATTGGTCGTATCCCTGCACCCGTATCTGCACATCCATAACGCCAAAACCTAAATTTATGTGTTGAAAAATTCGAACTTCTAGATCTGCACCTATATCAGGTCCTTCACCAGAGTCTGAGGAACATAGATGTGTACACAACAGGTGAGGACTGAATAAATGTCTGAAATTGAACTTGAAGCCTACAACTTGATTTCTACGAAACTAGGGCAGCCTGTGCACTAAGCTCCCGCTATGCATGAGGTCCGTGAAAGGGCCGCACCGCAAAAGTTTATTGTACTCAGCTTCCCCTAAATAGCTTTCAAATATTCTACCCTTTTACTCTTGAATTATATTTCTTTGTACAGTGAATTTCAGTAAGGGAACTTCACAGTAATTATAACTCTTGCATGTTTTGATTTCATCATAAAGTTGTATATTGTTTCTGCTATATTAAAGTTTCAAGAACTGCATTCTTCCATACTCGAAGTCTTTGCCCGGGCAGAAAAGACTTCGAATTTTTAATTTTTGTATCACTGTCTGCAAATATTGCTGTCTAGGACTGAACAGTGTTTCATTTTCTTGAAACAGGAAAGTAAATAAGTTCGAGGAATCGGATCCTCTACTCCTCACTGGCTTGGAAACTGAAGACCTCGAAGGCGCAGAGTGATGTTTGGTACCTTGTCTGTTCGAGTTTTAAGTTAAATCTTTTAGTTAGATTTTGAGTCCAATTATAGAAACATCTGTCATCCTCTTCTAGTAGTTGGCTTCATTAGCCAGAATTTGTTGCTTAAAAGGCGCGCATTTCGGTTTTATTGTTGTCCCTCTCCCTTGAACTGGAAATAAAATTGTAGAAAAGCATTACATAAAAGGGTAGAGAGGATATAACAGTAGTGTCAAAAGTGAATGCATTTTGATATTGTCAAAGAGTATACTTTGTTAATGAAAAAGAAAAGGCTTTATACAGAATTTCGATGCCCGGTGGATTAGTCGAGGTGCATGCAAACTGGCCTAGACATAGTTGTTATCCGAAATTTATATTTTGGCTTGGGGCATTATAAGTGCCTCAATTTACAGGTTTCGTGCGTAAATATCTGTGTGGTTTCTCTCTTTTGCCATCTCTTGTTTGTGATTTCTGTTAACTGCATGTTGTTCCTTTGGCCGCGGTTATCCTATTATCTTCTTGTTGTTTCTGCTTGCGGCTACTGCCTCTTTTGATCGTTCTTTGAGCTGAGGGTCTATCAGAAACACATCAATTTACATGGTAGCACAAGCATGTGCAGATATTGGTCAATCTCCATCGTCTTCTTGCTAGACATGTACGCGCTCATGCTGCTGTCCCGTTATGCCTCCATCGTCTTCTTGCTAGACATGTTATGTGAAAAGTTGAAATAAAAGAGTTGCCAAAAAAAAAGGAAAGAAACATTTTTTTTGAACTCCTTCGTTCCCAGATTGTTCACCAAATCTATTAACAGAACATAAACCATTTCTTCAAATTACTCATAACACAACACGCCAATTCACCAAAGTACTATCATAGTATTATCTGTCGACACTCATGCTCCAAAAAAAACTAAACAATGCACTTGGTTGAACGCAAGCTAACGAACAGGAATCAATTCCTACTTGCTATGCACCCATATTATAGAAACTCTAGATCCGCCTACGGTTGATAATTCATACACACCGACTATCCTATCCATGCCTACATATAGGATGGCTAAGCCAAGAAGTTCATCATTGTTTCATATATACAATATAATTTTTCGACAAATGGTGATCAACATTGCCTATGTATACATGTCATACCTGATTTCGTCATACCGATACCGCTGTCGATGATGGAGAGTGTGTTATTCACCTTATCAGGAACAATTCTAATGAAAAGCTCAGGCTGTGCATCCAGTTTACTCTTATCAGTCAAGCTCTCAAATCGAATTTTACCCAATGCCTACACATATAAAATTCAAAACTATACTCAAAACAAACAGATAAATTAAACTAGAACATAATTAAATAAATAAAAGTGCGCTCTCTCAACGACTTAATTAAGAAGCTTTGCTTTTGCATAGGACCAGAACAAAACCATAGCTTTAGCGCATATTCTATATTTGTATTAAAAAGTCCACTTAACAAATATAGATAATTTATTCAATATCCAATGAGTTGCCTCTTTTAGAATCTAGAACGTATAAAACTTTTAAACGTGATAAAAAAGTTAGAACCTATAAATTTAAAATTCTAAATTCGTCTTTATAAATAAAAACATCACACTTTAACATGATTATAAACTCATAATTTTTTTTAAATAATATAATATATAAAATAGACACCTTAACTTGATCTTAATTACAATTTACAACTAAACATTTCAACTTTAAGAATGTACGTCTATATACTCCAACTTGTCTCTACTATATGGATTAAACACTCGAACCTACAAAATAATTATCTCGACAGCCTCTAAAATTTATATGTCAGGTCAGCATCGAATGCCTAACATGATTAGGACAAATTTGAGGTGTGTTGATGTACATTGTTTAGTTATCAATTGAGAACAAATTAGAGATAATATACAAACGTATCATTTAACTTGTATTCAATTAACATCTATACCTTTCAACTTTGGCGTGCATAAAGAAACATTTAAACTCATATAAAATTGAACAACAAACACATGTATTCTACGGGATAATTTGCGTAAACTAAAACTCACATCAGAGGAATTGCTGATTAATTCACGAAGGAAAATTTCCTTATTAGTGTAAAAAGTATTGATAATTAAACTCAATAGCTGGTTTATTTCTGCTTGAAATGCAAAAATCTCAGTTTCCCCCATTTCTACATCTGCCATTGTATTTCTCTCTAATTAAAATGTTTGATTTTTTCTAAACAAAAAAAAAAGTGAAGATTTGAACAAAGAAGAGAGAAAATTTTGTATATTATTTTTCTTTTCTGAGTATGATAAAATGGAAAATTTAATAAGGTATTTATATGAAGGCGACGATTAATATTAATAATATTTTTGTGCATATGCCGTATCTGGATTTCTCTACATTTCTGTTCGGGTGTTTTTACTGTTTTACCCTTGATTCATACAGAGTAATTTTTAATGATGAATATGTTTATTATGTGTTTAATGTAAAAAAAATTGTGAATATTATTATTTATGTTGTGTGAAGTTTGGTTTGACGACGCCTAACTTTAGGTAGAATGTTTGAATTTTTATATGGTTGAAGTTCAAACATTTTTATTTGAACTTCAATCATATTGATTGAGATTTGTGTAAAAGGAAAAATGACTGAACTTCAGTAATATGAAGTAAAATTACTGCATGTCCATTTAAATCAAGATGAGATATTTAAACGTGTCACTAAAATTTAGAACTTGTTTTCTTATCTATCTAAAAAAAAATTATGTTTTATCGATATTCGATTGAACATTGAGGTCCCAAATTACTAGTAATGTTATCCTTTTTTAGTTTTTGTATGACTATAATCACTAAGACTCAAAGCTTGTTTCCTTATCTATTCAATATTTCTCCTTTATTTTATCGATATATAATTGATTATTGAGGTTTCAGACTACTAGTAGTGTTGTCTCTTGAAATTAGACCCGCATCACTTTAAAACGTTTTACACATTCTAGGTGAAAAATCTTTACATTCATTAGTATAATAAACTTTAAAAAAAAATTCTATTAAGTATAGGACTTTTAGTGGTCTATGCTTGAAAAAGTAGTGGGCCTGACTTGCTTCTCCTCAACATTTCTATTGGGGAAAATTATATATAATAGCAAATTATTAATTCAAATTAAATGCTATAAACATTGTTTGATTTAATTGTACCCCATAGCAAACTGTTGCTATGTCGCCTCTCTCCCTAGTGAATCTCGATGGGCAGTCTCGCTCGCCTCTCTCGCTTTTATACAAACACAAATGTATAAAAATGTGTTTGTGTTTGTATAAAGCGAGGGAAAATTGTATATATACATATATTTTCGTTCCCCTCTCTCCCCTCTCCCAGATCTCGCTCGCCACTCCCTCATATCTCGCTCGCCACTCTCACTCGCCTCTCTCACTTTATACAAACACAAATATATACATTGCGTTTGTGTTTGTATAAAGCGAGAGAAAATTGTATATACAAATACAAATGCATATATTTTCGTCCTATACACTTATGATTATACAAATACGATCTCCCCCTGCCCAGTTTTCTTTTGTCTTTCTCTCTTTCTCGCTTTATACAAACACAGATTATACAATTGATTCTTTTGTATATGTATACCGAAACAAATTATACAATTGCTTCTTTTGTATATATGTATAGCGAAATAGCCATAGCAAACATAAAATTTGCTATGGAGCGCAATTATGCAAACTATAGTTATAACATACAAATATGATTTTTGTGTTTGCTATATGTGAAAGTTGTTGTTCTTTCTATTGGACTTAGTTTGGGCTTTTCTACATTGTTATTCTCATTGCACCTTTCTTGGGCCTTGCTTTCTTACTCGAAATACCTAATGTTGACGGTTACAGATAGCACACTTATATTTACTTATAATACAATTATAATTACTTATAATTATATTTCTCACGTGATTCCTTACGTGTAAACTTGATTCTTTATGATGTGTTAAACATATAATTTTTTTAGAAAAAAATGTATGGCGATGAGACTTGAATTCAGGACCTCTATCTACCGATGAAGTGTGTGTATCACCTCATCAAAGAGTTTAAACTGATAGGGTAGATAACAACGCTTATATTTACTTAATTATGTATTTCACACAATTCCTCAAATGCAAATTTAATTTTTTTTTTATGATATATATATTAACCACGTGAAAATTCTTTTTTCTTATGATAAAGAGCGGTGAGACTCGAACAAAACCTTTACATAAATTGCTAACATGTTGAAATATGTGACTATCTAACCTAAAAATTTAAATAGTCAGGAATAGTAAATTTATTTATTAAAATTTTAAAATAATAAGAGAAGTAAAGTGTTTGGTGGTCAAGGGAAGATGAGTTCAATGATTTAAACAGTTAATTGAGAATGCTACTTACATTAGTTAACTTGCATTTTTTTGGACAAACATGAAAAAGGGGTGGTTGAGTAGGTACAAGAATTATCAAAAGAATATTTCACATGATAATATGACCCACAATTTTTTATAGAAAATTTTTACGCGTATTGAATGTATACATCAAATTAATAAATATAAAATATTATTTCTAAGGTTGAAAAAGGTTTAAGAATTCAATTATTCATCGATTTAGACCGTATATGAATTGATTTAAAACGTCAAAAGACAATTCAATTCCTATATCAACCAGCTTTCTAAGAAAAGCAAATTCAAATCAAGAACCAAAAAAGGAATTAAGAGTACAAAGTTCACATGGAAAATTATAATAATGTTTTTTTCATGATTGTTAAGGCATGGACTCAATGAACCAAGGGCAAGACCATTTTTCTCTTGTGGGGGAGATGTAGGAATAAACAAACAAAATAAATCACATTTGAATGTAAGTTATTTAAAGATTAATTTATTATTTAAGTTTTTAAGAATTCATTGAGAATGATTCTGATCTAGTTCATGATTTATTAAAATAAAAGACGTTTTGATGTTTAAATAAAAAGATCAGTCCATAATTAAATTATTTATACATGAAATAAGAATAAAAGCAAATAAGTTTATGTTTTATGCATTGATAATGTATATATTTTTAGCGTTTCATATTAAATACTGATTTATAACAATATGTAACCCTTGTTTATCAAGTTTGATGTGATACCTTAAAAATAAAAGATTAATATATATTTTCAATGTCAAAAATTATTTGGTTGGTGGGAAAAGAAATTAATCACCAAATAAAAATTCGCACTATTTTTTATGTAGAAATAATTATGTTGGAATAAAAATACCAAAAATAACCTTACACTCTTTATAATTCTCTTTTTCTTGAAAATATATTCAATATCATATATGTGTATTACAAGTGATGTATTATAACTAGAGTTGTCAAAAAGTGTCAGTCGAGCCTCACCCGGTCTAATTCTTGCGGATCAAGGAATTTGATGGGCTAGGGCAGGCTAGTCCTTTTTTTCAAACTTAAAATTCCATGACATCAAGAAAATGTGAAGATTTTCAAATCAAATATGGCGAACAATAGTGTTGTTTCAATAACAATAGCAAAAAAACTAGTGTGATTAGCATGTATCTAGGATACTAGATATGTGAGATACATGTATCTCGTGTGATGCATCTCAGATACGCGAGCGAGATAAGAGAGTGGCGAGCGAGATGGGAGGAAAGCGAGGGCGCGGGATTTGTCAATGTATTCTAGATACATGTGAATCCGCTTGGATAAAGTGTATCTAGAACAAATTAAACCTAATTTTGAGTATGTAACTGGACACACAAAAATCCTATAAGATTTGTACTATTACAACATAGCGGGCAACTAAGTATTTAGCTCATACACTAGTGAAATTTCTCTAAGTTATCCGTAAATAAATAGTTTGGTCTATGGGCCGACCCCTGCCCGACCTCGATCAAGCCTCGAGGGTCATGGGCTTATATGGGCCGGACTTATAAGCCCTAGTTTTAATGGGCTTGAAAAATCCTATCTCACCCTAACTCTAATAACTATTAGGTTACGTTGGGCCGATCCCATGGACTAAGCTCGTTTTGACAACTCTAATTATAATTCTGACATAACTTATGTTCGAACCAAACCATCGCTTAGTATAACTCTATACCAAACACAACATTTGTATAAAGCTCATTTATTTACGTAAATAAAAACGTGGACAACTACATTATTGTTTGTCTACATTTTGCTCCTTTATACTAAAGGGTCACAGACACAAGTGTTGTTGTTGCAGTATTTGCATATGCATATGCACATGTTGTGACTTGAATTTCGAGTCGGTTCATGTTTTGGGTTCGATTAATTTAGATTTGTGTAAAAAAAAATTACTTTAGAGGTAAAATAGAAAATCTATGAAAGTTGATTTCAGTTTTGGCACTTAAATTTGAGACCTTCAATTAAGAATAAAAAAGTATTTATCAGTACCCTACCATAGTCTTTGGTGGTGGTGATTTAAGATTTAATTTTCAAATTCACATAATGAAGTCTATTTTAGAAATAAGGCACTTTCAAATAAAAACAATTACATTTTTAGGATTAAAATTTGTGACTTTTGATTAAAAATAAAGCATGATACCTAAGTTTTTTTTCCTCCTAGATAAGATAGTACGTTTGGAAGATTTGTGCTTATCCTTAATTCATGTGCTAATCATATTTTATTTGTATTAAACTGTTCAAGGCGTGAATGCCATTATCTGCTAAAATCTAGTGAGAATCATGACTTTTTATCAATTAATATATCATATAATTGTCTATTAATTAAGCATGATTAAAAATTTTAAATAGTCAAGTTGTTGTTAATGTCTCACTAATAATAACATGGTAATTATAGTTTTTTATAATATTTTATCCAGGCGAGCTTTAGTACATCTCAATTAATTTTATGAAATATCTATTATTTTTCACTCTGTCCACCAATACTAAGACTGACTAGAAAAATCACGTACTAGTATTTTGATTATTTTTTTCTTAATAACTCATGATTATCAACTTAATCTTTTCTTAAACACATGTTTATCAACAAAGACACTTTTTGACATGCCTTGTAATCCTACACTTAAGCCTTATATGGCAGACAGCTTCTAGTAATATTTTATTTTAGTTTTAGTCTTAATAATTTTTAATTATGATAATCATGATCCAAATACTTGGAACTAATTAATTAACAACCTAAAAAT